ACAATTCAAATTATTGATATTTAGGAATTTTGAAATTTTAGAGAAATTGTCATGGACTATAATCTCAATAAATCTGGTAAACGTTAACTTGATTTAAATTGCTATAACTCATTCCTAGTGGTTATAATAATGTCTTGCTTAGGTTACTCACCACAAAATCCTCAATTCTTCCTCCTTGACTTACTCCTACAGACTTCTACTGACCGACTCTCTTTATTTAAGGCATCTTGTCTAGTTCATTTGTGTTACCTATTGGAGAGATTATTTACTCACATCTTTTGAGATTTTTTTCCACTAGTAAATATTTTATTTTATTTCTTAGTATTCACCCCCTTCTCTTCCTAGCAAATTCACCATATACCAAATTTTGTATCTCTTTGTTTTTGGGCCAACCACTAGTTTTTCTGTACATTTCCTTTTTCTGGTAATCATAATGGTTCATTCAATAAATTCTTGGGATGTTGGTACATCAAGCATATCATACAGTACTTGCATAGGTTCTTCCTTTCTTGTGGGCTTTTCTTCAGTAAAGCTTTTAACTGATTCCAATCTCCTTTTATGTTCCCATTTTTTTCCTTTTACCATATATATCATTTTTCCAATTCGTGGCCTTATTACAGTGTCTTACATTTCCTTTCCATTTTTATATACTCTGAAAAAGATTTTTTTGCCAATTTTGAATAATTTTCTGTTTTTTTTGTTACTTGTTCTTATTCTTTTTTAACCTGGTAACAACTTGTCAAACACCAATTTAATTTTTCTTGCAGACATCACTTCTGCCAATAACATTCCTGTCAATGTATTGGAATTTGGTGTTATCTGGTATATTCTTGAGAATTTTTGTAGTGCTTCTTTGCTCACTTTTTCATTACTTGCTTTGTTCAAAGCTCTCTTAAAAGCACTCACAAACCATTCAGCTTGTCCATTTGACCTTAGCTGATACAGCAGGGTAGTAACATGTTCAATCGAGAAATAAATATGTAAACAATTTTTTATTCATACATATATAAACATTTACTAACATTAAAATATGTGAATTCTTATTATTTATCATTTTATAAAGTTTGAATCAATTGGCAGTTAGCTAATGTTTTGCCAACCATACCAATAAAAAATACAATAAATAAATAGTGTAAATAAACAATAAATAGTGTTTATTATTTTTGTTATCAAGTCTCAAGAACAAAGAAAATGTATAAATTAATTTTCATGTTTAGGTTTTATTACAATTCTAGTCATTACTTTTTAAAAAATAAACATTACCAAAGAGTGAAGGTAGTTAAAATAAAAGCAGTGTCATGGGAAAAACTTTCCTTTTTGACACTACATTTTTTGCGGGCACAAAGTTCATGTTTGTGAAAAACTCTATTTTTGCTTGTTACCTACTCACTGCTAGGTGACAACAACTGGGTACCTAAAGCACTGAAGATATTAAGCTGGGACTGTGATTCAAAGCTTTGACAGCAGAACAAGCTCATGATGAATTTATAAGGGATGCTTTTATTAATGGGATATTGACTCACCAAATAAGACAGGCTACTTCAAAATAAAATTTTAGACCTGATAACATCTTACAGCTAGACTATTTTATTGGACATAACCCAGAAACAATCTGCATCTTACATGCAGCCTGAAATTATTGGAACTGCACTAAGGCCATCTACTCCTATCTTGGGTCTGCTTGGTAAATTTGTAATTTTTCATCTACCCAGAGTATTTTGTTTCCCTCTTTAAAAAGCTTTTGTTCCCCCCCCCACCCACTCTCCCCTTGTTCATACAGTTCCAGAACTCTTCTCTGAGTCTTTCAATCAACTTGTTACTGCTGCCTCTGCAGTTATTTTTGTGGACTCATTTCTCACACCCATTTATCATATCCTGTGTGAAAGTTGATATGTCACAAATGTAAGAAAAAAGGTCATTTTTCAGATTTGCCAGTCCAAAATAGTATCAATTATGTCTCCTAAATGCCATTCAAAGGTTATGTTGAATGTTAAAATTAACAGTGTCACTATCAAAGCTTTAATTGATACAGAAAGCTTACAAAGTTTTGTAAATACTGGTATTGCAAAGGCAAACCAGTGGAAGATTACACATTACAATAAAATAACTATGTCAAATGCTTCACTACCTTCACAAATTTTGGATTATTGCTTGGTCAAACTACAAGTAAAACAGTACTTTTGACAATAATAAACACCTAATAATGCAGGACCTATGCTGCAACACCATAACATCCTCAGCCATTACTCAATAATTTAACTACAGATGGTAAGCCAGTAGCCATCAAATCTAGGAGATATTCTTTTGAAGACAATAAATTTATTTAGTCAGAAATATCCAGAATGCTAAGAGAAAGAATAATTGAAAAAATAAATCCCTCTGGAGGACGCAAGTTTTGATAACACCCTCTGCAAATAACAAAAAACAAATGGTTATAGATTATAAACCAATTTACACAGTTTGATGCCTATCCACTACCATGTATTGATGAAACGATTGGTGAGATTGACAAATATGAAACCTTTAGCACCCTGGATCTCAAAATTGCCTATCACCAGGTAGAAATAAACCTGAAAGATGAGCTTTGTACAGCTTTTGAAGCATGTGGATAGTTCCATTTGGGGTCAAAAATGGTATATCCAGCTTCCAAAGTGTCATTAAGAAGATAATAACCAATAAAAAACTGCAAGGCATTTGCGTTTACACAACGTAACAGTATACAGCCATGACAAAACTGATTATGATGGCAATCTCAAATGGTATATGACCACTGTTGAAAAATACAACCTTACACTAAAAAATGATAAGTGTTCCTATGTGTTAAGCACCTGCTAGGATATATCATAAGCAAAGAAACTATGATGTCAGACCATGAATGGCTGAAGCCACTACAGGAATTATCAATCCCTAATAACATCTCTGCCTTATGATGGGCCATGGGTATGTTTGCCCATTATTCCCCCTGGGTAGTCTCATTCTCTGAGAAAATACACCCATTAACACACATTACATATTACCAGTTTCCCTCCTGCTGTAAAAGCTTTTGAGGGTTTAAAAAGTTATATCACCAATTCTGCAATATGGCAGTAAATCCCACTCTAGTGGTAGAAAGAGACTACTCCAATTGTGCTATTGCTGTCTCAAATGACAACATCCAGTGATAGGAAAAGAAGCTTATGCCATTGTGGAGGTGCTAAAGAAATGGTGACATTATTTGACTGGCCACCATTTTAGACTAGTCACAGACCAAAAGTTTATAGCATTCATTTCTAATCCTGTTATACTAGAACATACCTATTCTATTGTAAATAGACTCTCCCAGATATAATAAGTAGTAGTAGTAGCAGTCGCCAGGGGGCTCAGAGTGAGTTGGTGAGTCAGTCAGTCAATGTCGGACATTAAAGTATCAACCACCACAACTAGATTGCTGCGTCATTAACTATTATTTCAAGTTCCTAACGTTTTGTACGTCGAACCTATTTTAGGACCGACTTAGTACAAATACAAGCCTCCACTGTGAAAACTACTCTACAACAAATCCTAAGATGACTAGCTGAATAAAAAATGAGAAAATATCCAGATGGAGAATTGAACTTAAGATTAATCCTTAAGCAAGATGAAGTGCATACATGCTTAGGACATGAAAAGAGAATGCACCAGTGGTTTAATGACTAAATCATATTTGTACCTGATTCTTGAGGATGCGAACAGCTGGAACATAAAGAACTTATTTAAACAGATCAATAATAGAGCAATAAAGTTAAAAGAACTGGCACCAGTTGTTTTTTTGTTTTTTTCACTTACTTTTAATAAATATTGGCAAAATAAATGAATAAAAGAAAATGAAAGTCTATAAGAATATTATTTAAATTCATTTTGTTTCTAAGATAACTGATGATTATTAAGTCAGGGATGAAATTTCTGTTAATCCTGTTCTTTTATTGTCCTTTCTCCTCACTAAAGTCTTCTCATTCCCTTTCACTCCCAGTAACCCATTGCATCTTAGTGACATTATCACCTTGCTTGGGGTGAAATGATAAAAAGTAAATAATTAACAATGATGAATTGGTTCATGTCAAGTTTTGAGCTAATAAATCTTTTCTTAACCTGTGTACTGAGTTGTAATAGAAGTAAAGATTAAAGGCCCACAATGAAAGCTTAGGGCATCAAAAGTGAATGAACCAGTGGTTTAATGACCAAATCATTTACACTGTAAAAGATATTTCTTGCCTGACTCTTGGTGTAGATAGCTGGGGTAGAAAAATTCAGAATCTTACCTGAGGTGGCCATAATACATTAATAAAAAAATAAGTTTAAAGAAGTAACACTAGTTATTAAATTAAATTAAATTATTCCTGATAAAGATTGCCAAAAAATTTAATGAAAATCTATAAGAATATTATTTAAATTAATTTTATGTCTAAGATAACTGATTATTCCTAAGCTAGATATCAAATTTTATTGGAGTCATAAACTAGGATGACCAAATATGAAAACTAATTAATTAGGGGAAAATTATTTCTTAATCAGCAAATTGCTAATTACCGATTATCAACCAATTAATCTGTGAAACCTTATTGTTAACACTGCAAATGAAAGTTAGAGATAAGTATTGAATGTTAGTAGTGAAACAGTAAATTTTGAAATTTGGTTGCTTTTCCACATATTAGATCCAAAGAGTCCTCCAGTGCTGTTACTTTCAGGTTTTGAAAAGGCCTGGGATTAGCTGGAGAATCATTACATTTACATAAGGCAGCTCTGATACTGTCAACTGGAACAAAATTATTTCATCATTTTCTAATATCAAAGATTTTTTTTTTTTTTTAATATATTGGACATTGTTTTCTTATTGTCTTTGCTTATATTATTTTGTTATTAAAACTAGTATTTTCTTTTTTCAATACTTAGTGTTCAGTTTGTCTTTGTTTTTTTAAATTTCTATCTACAATTCTATCTCATGATTCATTTACACTTTTCATTGCTGTTTGATTTTTAATCAGGAAAATAACCAATGAGCAAACAGAAGCTGGTTTTGTGGTTAAAAATCAATCTACTGTACTGGGATCCCCTCAAACTGGTCAGTATCATCATTTTTTTTTTTTTTTCAACAAATATTTTAGTAATATATATTTTTGACATTATATATTAACTTTAAGAATGGATCATCATAGGAAGTAAATGTTTCCAAGTTGATCTTATTAAAACTTAAAATTAAATTTTTTTTTAATCCAAAGTGAACCAATTGTTTGTTTTTTTATATCTTATCATAGGCTGTCAGAAATTTAATTTCTGTATCTATCTTTCTATCTCTCTTACTTTCCTTCCTCCTCTCCTTTTCCCCCTGTGGGCAGTGTAAGAACTGCTGCTGCTGTGTCACGTGACGAAATCGTGTCTAACGATTGGTCGTACGTGATTTTCCTGCTTGTTTTCGACTAGATTAGAGGAATCTAGTCAGTAGTAGCCAGAAAGGAAACGTGTGTTCGCAGTGTGAAGACGAAGTCGTCTTGTCTTGCGACGAAAAGAAACTTGCTTGAATATTTGTCTAAGAGAATTGAAGATAGAGAACAAGCATGTTCGCCTTGTGGAAAAGGCTTATTCTTTAGACAAGTGAAGTCAAGTCTGTTCCAGTAATCAAGTGGATTATTGTTCAGCAACCAAGGACAAGTCAGTAAAGACTTATCAAAAAATCTGTTAATGTAATTATTGTAAAGAGAATTTTACAATAGAACATTTGCAAGGAAGTCTTCTTTCGACAATCGGGTCGAAGAGAGAAACAAGTCAGTCAAGCGGTTGAAAAGCTACTTTCCTTCGAGGAGTTATTTTGTCCTATTGGAGGACGAAATCCTGATGTGAAAAAAGTATATGAAAAAAAGATCTTCTAAGAAGTTGAATTTGTGTTGCAGAGAAAGTTTGAAAAAACAAGTCTGCATTTATTCTTAACAGGAATCTTGCTTATCTTCCAAGGAGAGCAACTCAAAATATCTCAAAAAAAACCTTTCTGCCCAGCTACTAAAAAAAAATACTAAAGTTTTTTTTTGAACAGTAAGTCTAATTTTTCCCCTCTTTCTGCTATCTCTCTACCTCTTTCACTCTCTCTGAACTGTTATTGGAGTCCTTTTTAAGGGCTCGCCAAAGGGACGTTTTTGGCAGTTATTTTCAAGTTGTACCAGTGAACTTTAACATCAGACTATTTCCACCCCCCTCATTTTCTTTTTTTTTTTCTTTTCCCACAATAAATTTTATAGCTATTTCAAGTGGTTTTTCCTTCTTCTTTATCTCGCTTGTTATGGTTGTATATTCATGGTTTCAGGTCTCAGTTAACTGTGTTACGCGGGATTCCCGTCATTGGACGTAATGACAAAGTTTCCCAACCTTTTTTGCGCCGAGTTTGCCTGTTACTAAGCTAAATTTCAACAAGGCCTAGCTTTAATATGGACATAAAATCATTAAAATAGATAGATAAATAAATTCAAATAATTCCAATGCTTTAAGGATATCATATGAATTACAGTTTTTTCTGGAAAGAGTGAATGGAAATTTAAAAGAAAATTGAAAATTAATATATATATATTTTTTAAGTGCAGAAACTTTATTTAAAATTCAAAAATGGGCATTTTTTTTTTTTTTTCAATTTACAAGTTTTCATGGTGATAAAACAATGCAATGTTTTTAAAAGTGAAATTAATTTTATCAGACTTTTAATCCTTAGTCTAGTACTTTGCTAATAACTTCAACTACGTAAAACAAAATAATTTAAAAAGACATTGCATTTTTTTACATAGGTAAAAGAAAAATGAATCGTGTTTCTGTTAATGTGGCATTTAATTTATGACTCCTCACTTGTTAGAATTCAAATAAATATTAAAAAACCGATAAATTATGAATTAAAAGTACAATGTTTTTTGCTTTTCTTTTTAAATAGGATATATAAACAAAAACAAGTTATCTTTCTTTTATTATAAAAAGTTTTTAAAGTATTCCTGATTTAGAAAAAAAGAAGTAATGTCTTTGTTTATTTTACATATCCCCAGTTTTATTTTTTTTAAAATAAACACATTTGTACTTTTATTTCATAATTTATCAGTGAGGAGTTATAAATACTACATTAACATAGATACGGAAAAAAAACCTGGCACCATATAGGCATTAGATTCTGAGAAATGGATAAATATTAAGAATTGATTGGTGTACAAATAATTTCATTGTTGAACATATATATACACTTCAAGGGGTTAATGTGCAGTGTAATATTGTATTGCTTCTGGGAAGGGGCGGCAAACTTGAGTTTGATCAAACAGATCTATCAGACTTGCTACTAAAACATGAGTAAATAGTTATTAGCATAAATAGCTAGATGAGAATTGATGACATCAGGAAGATAAGAAACAATACGGCTTTCATTACATAATTTGTTAGGGAAGATTGGATTAAGCCAAATATTTGTCCAGAGACACACTCATCATTGAGCTTGTGGACATGCTAGCATGCCAAACCCTGTTGAACATCTTTGAGATATCTAAAGCCACAGTTTGAGCCTTGCCATTCTTATCTAAAGACTGATAGACAAATTCAGTAATATCCGTTAACACATTGGCAGTAGACCTAGAGAAATGAGAGCCATACTGTTTATCCAAAAGAAGGCCAGGTCAAGTGAGATGCTTAACCAATTCAGCATTAATCAGAACCTCTATTACTTTGCCAAGAAGAAGTAAGAGCCTAATAGGGTAATAATTTGAGGAATTAAAAGGTTCATCAAAGTTCTTAAAGACAGGAACTACAGATGAGGATTTCCAATAAGATTGAAAGCAAGAAGCAGCAAGGCATTTATTGTAGAGTTTGGAGAGAATGGGAGCCAGTTAAGGAGCATATTTCTTTAGGACAATTGCAGAGATACTGTCAAATCCACCTTGGAGATGATAGCAGAAATCATGGCCAGAGTTATGTGCATATCATTCAGTAGAGATTCCAGTCTAGAAGGGAAATTAAGCAGATTGAAGAGTTGAAAGTGGAGTTGAAAAATTTCTGAGCAAAGCATTCTACTTTATATGCAGTAGTTAACTATTTTAAACTGGTTCAAGAGAAGAGGGATTGTGGATTCACTCTTGTTCAGCACACTCTTACAGAACCACTGTTAATCTCTAGAACCAAACTTGTGAGAGGCTATATGATGTCTCATTCTATCAGCAAATAGCAACTTGTCCTCATTGAGGACATGCTTACACTCATTATGGGAGGATACATGATTAGAATTGTTGCATTGGTATAGCCAGAAGTGATTCCTATAGGCTATAGTGTCTGAACAAGCAGGAGTAAACCAATCCATGCAGGCTTTCACCCAGGAAGAGAGCTCAGTGGCACAATACTCAACAGGAAGATTAAAAATGTCATTCCATGGAGTATTGCAAAGAAAATCAAAAAATGATATATAGTTAATAAAAGTTAATGATATGCTACTGCATGATAAGATACATCATTGCTGAAAAATATTGGAAAAATGTTTTAATTTCAAAATATTATTTCTTTAATCATATGTATAATCTCTTCAATTAAGTCTATCTTGATTTGTCAGTTTTCCTTTTTAACCTTTTCAGCTATTGAGTCTTCACAATGCGCAATAAAACCATCAAGAACCTTACTGAGAACACCATCAATGGAGCAAAGAATTGTTATCGACAAAGGAGATAATTGTATAAAACATTTTTCTTCAAACTTTTCAAAATTAGGATACATTGAGATTCTTTAAATAAAAAAAAAATCTTATTAATTTGAAACTGTTGTTTTGATAGAACTCAATCTAATATTGTTTCTGTAAATGTTCATTGCATATTTAGAAGAAAATTTCAATTACTATTTTCAAGAATACAGAATGATCTTCTTTCAACAGAATGAGTTTCTTTTAGAAAATAATTATATTGTAACATGACTTAAGTGCCACTTATATCTTTTCTTTTTAGTGCCATATGAAATTTCAGAATCTGAATTGTTGAAAGATTTGGTATATGTATTTCAAGGTATTGAGGGTAAATGGATCAAATTTGATCCTTTCTCTGATGCATATAGAGTAAATTCTCAAGTTAGTATTATTTTTTTAATTTTTCTTAAAAATTATTTTTCACAAATATTTTTGCTTTTTACATTAAATTTGTTCATATAATTCCTGTATTTTATGCAGTACTTTTTTAGATCTATTCTAAAGAAGAAATTAACCATTACAGTAGAGATTGTTTCTTCATATTCTAATTATATTGGACTGTGTATTTTGTGTAAATTAATGCATAAATTTTTTTCAATATTTAAATAAAAGCATATATTATTGGAATTTTATGTATATAACAAAATTTAAACATGAAAATTAAATTGAAAATGTTTTATAAAATGTATTTTTCAAATACTACTGTTGAGGGAAATATAGAAAAGCAAATATGTATCAGTAAAATATTTATGCAGTACTTTCTTAGATCTAGTTAATGATGATCCAGAAACTTAAAAATTTGTTTTACATTTTGCCACCTGAAGCATTAATTCACATGCACAACAGTTTTTGTTCTCATCACCCTTTGAAGATCAAACAAAAGCTTGCAAAACGAGCATGCAGTACATTCCTAGATCTGATCTAAAGGACCATTACTGCATACAAGACTGTCATCAAAATAAGCTCAATGTTTCTATTGTTATAAGAACATTTATTATTTCTTTATATTGTCACTTAACTTTTTTTCATTTCTCATGCTTAGTTCTTTGTAAAAAGTAATATAAGGTATCAAGATTACATTTATAGTAAAAAGATAAATTAAAATAAATGTCTATCAAGTTTTTATATATACGAAGAAATATATAAAAATATACTCTGTATAGTTTGTCAGGTGTACATATTTTTTCCCATAAGAATATTTATTTAAAGAATGACCTTATGATATTTGGGGAAGTCAATCTAGTACCCAATTCTGCTAATATTTGAAATTCAAATCCTGGAAAAAGATCTTTTGGCCTTTTCCTGTATCATTGTGTGATCATTCTTATTTTGCTTGTATCTATTGATACAAGCACAATAAGAATGATCACTTCATTCTATATGGTAAAGGATGAGAACATTCTGTGTTAGTTGTTTAAATAATATTTTGAATGGTTTATTCACATTATTGATATTAAAGAATAAATTTGTTTTATCCTGAATTATCATGAATAATGACTATATTCTTTACAGGAATGTTACTAAATATTTTTTAATCATTTTAGTCAGGAGTTCCTAAAGCTATATGTCAACGTGTAAACAAGTTAGCAGAATGTGGCTGGTTGCATAACAAAATAAAAAATTATGTAGAACGGTGCAGTCAGTTAAAAGCTGTTGGTCTTGTTGAACAGGTGATATTTTTTAAATTCTATATTTTAAAAGATTTTTCAATTTGTATTTTCTTCATTCAAATTGTTAAATAATATTAGCTGGTTACTAAATTTTTATTTTGCAATTTCTCAAAAGTGACTGAAGTTATTTTATATGAAGAAGTGCTAAAAGGTTCTTGGTTCAACAAGAAGTATTCAAAAAAATCTTAATGTTTAGTCATTTAGTATTGTGTTGAGCCAAGAACTTTTCAGTACCCACTTGTAAATTTAAAATAAATTTGATTTTTGCTTGAGGAAAAACATTGATACAGTTAAAGGTTTAATTCATAACAGGGAACTTTGAAATTTCTTTTATTTTTTGTTTTTTATTACAAATTTGTATAAAAAAGTAATTTATTTTAATATAATTTTGTCATCGAATTAAAAAAATGTCAGTTATTTTTCTTAGTATTCATATACAGTTTCTGAAAAACCTGGAAACTAAATTATCTGATTATTTTAGTAATGTTTTTCTTTATTTTTCTGTTTCAGAGTTTTTGTGCAGCTCTTCACCAAGAACTCACAGAGTATTATAGATTAATGGCAGTGTTAGAGAGTCAGGTTAGAATAACATTTTTAATAAAATTTACCACACCAACTATTAAGCTGAAATTTAGTTACACATAAAAAATACATCAAAAACAAATTTCTATGAAAATTAAACAAATTCACTTCATATTGAATTTTTAAGATGACTATTTTCTTAATTTCTGTCTTTATAGAGCCTAACAATAAAAATATAGTTTTATTTACTCATATTTTATTTTTATTTTTTTCTTAGATGTTTCATTACTTCTTAGTTCTTACTATCATACATGTAAACAAGAATATTTGACTCACTGTTAAATAATAATTTCTTTATATTCTAGTTGCATCAGGAGGAACAAGGCATTATGGGTGAATATGGTCATCTGACATTATGTCGGATGTTAGTATGGACAGCTGATCCTTTAATTCGATTGAAGGCCTTAGCAGCATTAGTTGATATTTGCAAAGGTAAATATAAGATCCTAAAGATTCTTAGGGAATAATCATTTTGTTAGTTTTTTAATAAATCTGTTTTGTCAATTTTTCTAAATTTCATCTAGAAATTTTGCTTTGAGTAACCTAATAGGTTTTCTTGTTTTTTATCCATTAGATGGTATTAGGAGCATTTAATTTTAACTACATCCTAAAAGATCATTTACCTCAGTGTGAATTTTAAAAATAACTTTTTCAAAATTGGAATACTTTTGTTTATTCTAACACTGAAAATGAAAGAAAATAGCATTTTCAGTAGAGTTTTTTAGAAAGTTAAATATACAACTTGTGTGCAGATTTGTGCAGTTTATAAAGGAAAAAATAAAAAAAAAAATTATTGTAGATAGTTGAATGTATCAAAAGTGGTTTGTGAAAATTTGTGCCCTAAATGTTTTTTTTCTAAACAATGCCCCAAGGTTGAGTTAGATAGCAATCAACTTATTATTTAAGAATAATCAATCTTATATGACATGAGGGATAAAGCCAACATGCTCAAAATATCTAAATCAAAATTATAGAAAATTTTTGCCAGCTAGCTTGTTTGTTTCTTTGATGTGTAGCTTCCACATAAATTAATTTAAATAAAAACTACTGTATTTTCATGTGTGATTTCCTACTTAAAATGTAACAAAGATAGAGAATGTACCTTTTTTTTTTTTTTTTTTTTTTTAAACAAATTGTGACAGTTGATGAAAATTGAATACTTTACAGCAATGTGGAATGCAAGCGATTATGTTGCAAGCAAAATGAGCCACCACTAACTGTACCAAAAGCTGGTCTTCATCTGAAGATAGTGATACTGTGTAAGAAAACCTGAAAACTTCAGTTCCTTTGCTGCAGTTGTTCTAAAGTTATAGCTCATTGGAAATTGGTGAAATTTAGGAACAACAAACATGAAACAAAATCATGGCACTTTTGGTGCATCATAACTTCAGAAATGCAGGCAGTTGGTATCTGTTATGCCCACAGTTTTCCACACAAATTAAGCATTTCTGGTATCTATTTTATTCAATTCTTCACCTATAAAGAATTATTTGCATCCACCATTACATTAAAGAGTGTCAGTCAGCATTCCTAGAAATAACAAAAGAGAAACATAAAACAGATCACTACTTTCAAGCTGAACATCTTTTATTTGCTACTTTGCATGGTAAGAGCCCATACAATGGTTTAGGTGAAACTATAAAAATAGTTGCTTATGCCAGTTTATGAGCTACCATATCAAACTAATTCTTGACACTGAAGGAACTCTTCAGTTAGGATAAAGAAAATGTTAAAAGTGTAACCATTCTGAATGTTCAAAAAGATATTGCTAATCACCAGATACTGCATGATTTGGAAACATGCAATAATGAAGTTTCTACTATTCCTGGAACAAGAAGCCATTATTGTTTTATACCAGAAATTGATTTATTTCTGATGAAAAGAGTTTCTACTGATCAGATACATGGCACTACGAATTTAACAAAATCATAACTCAAACCATTCAATACATGCCTGGAATTTATGTTGCTTGTTTTTATAACAGTTTGGTACATTGGTCTCATTCTTGAATGCTCAGAAGAATATCAAGATGCAAGAATATAATTCATGGCAAGGAATAGCATGGACTATCATTGGTTAAATAACTCTTGCTATGTACCATATGGCAACATAATTTGTGAAATTACACCATCATGTTGTCAAAAGATACAAGTGCACACACATACAATTTTTTGAAGAAAATTTAAAAAAAAAATACAATCTTTATCTTAGTATTCCTTTTTCATTTAGATCTGAAAAAAATATTTCAACACAGCAAGGTTTGAACAACAGTTTCAACAATCTATGCTCTCTTTTTAACCTGTTTAAAATATTAATTTATTTTCAGCTTCATTTAATCCACTCTGCTATTTAGAACCTAAATCTTTAATTCACATGTATTTTGTACAAGGAGATTCTACAGAAAAAATTAGGTCACCATGTCACATTGACTTTTGTCAAAAATGAAAAATTCTTTGCTGTTTTTGCTACACACAAAAAGAAAAAAATTCTGTTGAGATGCCAGAAATGCTTAATAGTAGTGAAACTAAATTTCACTTTGACCATACATTTTTGTGACTGAAGTTATGAAGTACTAAAATCAGCAAAATTGTGCTTCATGCTTAAAATGTCTACTTAGTACTTTTAAAATGGTAACCTTCTAGTATAGGTTCTTATTTTTAACTGTTGGAAGACAAATAGGCTAATTCCAATAATCATTTTGGAAAAGTTTACCTAGACGACTAGTAAAAGTAGTAGGTCTTCATGTAGTTCTATCAATGTACTTAAAAACAACTCTAAATGGAAGTTCATTTTGATGAAGTGATGTGCAACAAAATGTCATTATCAACTCTGCAATCAAACACCAATGCAGATTATATTTTCATGGTTCTGAACATGCTTATGATGGGTGGTTACTTTTACTCTAGCCTTTTCCCTGTCTATTTTTGACGTATCAATGATAATATTCTTTAAGTTAAGGCTTGGATGAAGAAAGCCCATATATTGTAGGTTTAATAAAAAGATGTTAGCAAGCTATGTCCCTAGGTTAGAAGATAATCTCACCTTTAATAAGTTCCATAGCATATCTAGAGACTAAGTTTCCTAACACAATCTCCCTGGCTCAAAATTGTCATCAGTTGTTTCTTCATTAGAAAACATTGGTGGAAAAATATCTGCTGTAGTGACAACATATGTAGAATCCTGTTGTTGCTATCTTTTAATCTTCCCATCTGATCTCTCTGCTTCAGTTGCATGGGTTTTATAATTTTTGACAGCGTCTTTGTCAGTTGGAAACTGTTTTTTGGTCTTGTTTTCTCTCTTTGAGATTTTAAATATTCCTTTCTTCAATGGGAACCTGAAATTTCGAAATGTTTAAAAACAGATCTAGCATACATAATAAATATGAAGGAAAATATCACAATATTATTTACCAGAGAAAAGAAGATTATCAGAAGTAAACTTATATTTTTCAATTAATTTAAATTTTGAAAATCAGGACATGAACGAGTTCAAATTAAACAAAGAAAAAGCAAAACAAGCATAGAATTAACATTAACTTCTTGTTAAGAGGACAAGTGCAAACATTACCCTATTTTAATAAAACGTCAAAGGTAAATTTGAAATAAGAAAAATAGAATGAAACAGTATTACTTACCTAAATGGAAGTTATAGATTCTTCTGTGGAAATAAACAAATATGTTTTAGATAAACACTAGTCACTTCAAAAATACAAAATGATATAGATTAAACAAAATGTTTACTTTCTTTTTTAAATAATTAAGTCTGTTTTATAAAAATACAAAAGAACTAGTTAATTTTACAGTGATAAATGAACAATAGTTGAGATTTCAGTATCTTACTTATTATAAAACGCAGATTGTGTGTGTGTGTGTGTGTGTGTCTGTAACGTTTATATATTGGATCGAATTTCCTACATTTTTAAATGATTTCAACAAAACTTCACAGGACTACATAAAATTACCTTGTGGTGGTTCTAACGGCGCGAAAATGGGGAAAACAACTGTTTTTTTTAACAAAATCAATTTGAAAGCACGATTAAGACACATCGTGAGAATGAAAGGGGACAACTCACCCACGAAAATGTAAACAAAAGAGCATAGCATGATGAAAAAAAAAAAAATTGACGAAAACAAAATTTTATCGTCTAATGTTCATATTATTATTAAAGAGGAAAGATCAAAGTATTTTTGGGGTATTTTTTCACATTTTTAATCGTTCTAGCACGTCTGAAATTTTTGTTAAAAAATGTTTTTTTTTTTTTTTTTGCTCAAAAAAGGACAGATAATCAATCATTTTCAGTCATTTTTTTGATTTGATATAAAAGATTAAAATCTGACTTTGATATTCTTTTAAAATCAATTATCATTTTTTCAAAACTGATTTTAATGAAAACAGAAATTATACTGTTTATTTAAAATATTTTGAACCAAGCTTAACTTAGCTTCTGCGAAAAAATGTAATTTGAAAAATAAAACAAAGCAGGTCATAACCTTTCGCGTCGCTTGACGATTGATGAAAAGGCACATTCATGATGTTTAGATAACTTACGGAGGATAATTCTTTCTACAGATGGAAGGAAGTGAAATTATTTAAGTGAACAAATTATTTGCCTCGTTACTTTTAAGGAAAACTTTCAGCGCTCTATTTTTTTTTTTTTTTTTTTTTTTGTACTTAGCTTTTATTTTTACGTTTATGATGCTTTATGGAAAATATAAAGAAATTAAAAATAAGACTGTTAATAGTGAGATTAAATTTCATAAGAAAAGGTATCTAATTAATTTAGGTACCTTTCTTATGAAATTTTATCAGAAGTATTACATAAAATACTATAATTTTATGTACATTTATTATTTTACTGTGTTATTTGTATTTGCATTCATTTTATTATTAATTTTGATATTTCATTTATGGAAAAATGTCATAACTGAGATTAATATAAAAATAAGATCATATATATTAAAGTTTAGCAATAGTTAAATTTCATAAGATGATACTGTTACTTGTAGGTACCCTTTTCAGTTGAAATTGAAAACTCAAATTAACTTCTCCATACATGTTTCGCAAAAGTAAAAGGCTTAACAGTGGAGAACAATGCTGAACTCAAATAATGCAACTAAATTGTATTCTGGTTGGTCTTCCGTACTTGATAATTACTGTCCGACTATAAACACAGAAATTACATTTCTTAATTACCATGGCTAATCTGATTGGTCCAAATTATACAATTTTCAAAGCGCTAGACAGTGACAATCTCACACGGACATTTTGAAAGGTTGATGTTGCTTTTAACTAATGTTAAAATATTTTTAAAAATTCAATTTAAATTTTTTTTTAAATCTTTTTAAAATTAAAGAAATAAGAAATAATTGTATTAAAATTCAATTTTCATTGAAAAAATTTTTTGCTTTCAGAAAATATTGTCCATATTCATAAAAAACAAATTAAAACAAATAAAAGCATTTGAAACTAAATAATATATTTGTTTTATTGAGTTTTGTATGTTACAATTCACAGCTGATTTTCAGGTAAGTTGGCCAAATAGAAAAAAAAAAACATGATTTGCATTCTTAAAAGCCTTGTGCTTTTAACTATTATAATCACTAAAACAATGGTCTCAATTTCTAGAGTTTTCATAAAATTAGTTATGGGGGGTGATAATAAATATAAAAAAAATATTTCTGCCATGACTAATAAAAAAAAACATATTTATAATAATTTCAATCATCTGTGAATAGTTTCTGAAAGTTTCATTAACATCTGACAATTATTTTTATTTTTGCAAGATTTTACAAATTAATGTGTTTAAATAAAAAACACGCTAAAAATTATCTGTTATTTACTACCCCTTGTTGCGACAAAAGAAACAAGGTTTTTTTAAATCAAAATTTAGAATATTCTAAAAGATGGAAAAATTTTTAAAAATAATTAAAAAAAAAATTAGTCTATCCTCTTCATAAAAACATAAGCATTTTGACGATAAAATTTTGTTTTCATAAACTTTGGCGTCTTTTTCATCAGACTATGCTCTATGTTTTAGCGATTCCGTGGAGTGACTTAGGTTAAAAAACCCAGGTTGTGTGTGTGTGTGTGTGTGTGTTCCTTTATACATGGGATCGGATTTCTTACATTTTTCAGCCGATAAAACAAACATCTTTTTTTTTTTTTGGCAGTAGTATTTCTTATTGTCTTGCACACTTTTTTTCTTTATTTATACATTCAGAATGCTTTAAAATTCCATTTACAAGACAATTGTTTATAATAAAATTCTAATTCTATTCAATTGTGGGACTCATCATAACGATTGAAAACAATGTTTTTGTTGGAGTTTGGGTTTGACCAATTCGTAAAAAAAAAAAACTAAGACAAGCGTGTCCGTCAACCTAAACAATAATCTAACGATCTCTACTGATTGTACGAATCGAAAAATCGGATAATACTTTCTCTTTAGGGAAAGATAATTCCACGTACTTTAGGGCCGTTTTTACAATTCCCTTTGCAATTTGTTACAAGGCAGATCAATAAGGCATTGGTTCTATTTGAAATTAATTCAATATTTAAAAGAAAGTATTAAGAAATAATTTAAAAATCTGATAGACAAAAAACAACAATATTTTGAAGATGATAATTATTAAGGAAAGAACACAGTACTTGTAATAAATTAATAAACCCAAATAAAGTTAATATTTTTTGTATTAGAAATGAGTGAAAAATATATTCAAATCAGAATTCTAATTATGAATCACCACAAGCAAAATATGCAATTTTTTTTACTGTATTCAATAAGTAAAAATCATAAATTGTAAAAAGATTACAGAAAGGCTATCTACATTTTTCAACCGATTTCAACAAAACTTCACTTTTTTTTTGGCAGGTAGTGTTTCTTATAGTCTTGCACATTTTTTTCTTTATTTTTACATTCAGAATGCTTTAAAAATTCCATTTACAAGACAATTGTTTATAATAAAATTCTATTCACCAATCGATAGACTCATAACGATTGTAAACAATGTTTTTGTTTGAATTTGGGTTTGACCAATTCGTAAAAAAAAAAAAAAAACCTATTAAGACATGTGTGTCCATCAACCTTAAACAATAATCTTTGTCAATTTTATTTTTTAGTCTTTATGATGGTTGATACTTGATCTATCTCTTACTGTTACATCCCCGGGCAACGCTGGGCTCTACTGCTAGTCAAATAATAAAATAACAGCAAATGTTTATAATGGTGAGAATTTAGATAATATCCATCAAAAGAAAGCTCCAGCACAAGATTCATAAACAAAATATATTTATTTTACTATTGTTGATTAAAATGAAGAAATTTTTTTATGAGTTTTTTTTTTTTTTTTGGTGGGATTTTTGAGAATTGGTTTAATTTTATCCCACTGAAAAATAAAACCTAAATTCTGTCTGAGAAAAAAGGAATCAATTACATTGCTGGTTGACATTGTATATTTGGTTTCACATTTATTTTGGTCTTTTGCAGAAACATCTTAATGAAACAAATCTTTTGCAAAGATAGAATATCTGTTTGTAGCATGTATAATAGTATCTGAAACAAAAGTGAAAACTTTTATTAAAGACTCGTTTTGCCAAAAAAGCATATATTTGTGTGGGGAAAATGTCTTAGGATCTCTGAGGATAAGTGGGTATCATAAATCAAGTTAATTACCGTAGATTATCACCTCTTAATGTCCAGAATCGAAGAGTGTCTGTCCGCGTGTATGTTTGTTTTATTTATATCTGTATTAGAGCCATTTTTTCACTCATGCAATAATAATTTGTAAAATTTATATTCATAATTATTAGTATAATTTATATTCTTTATCAGAACATTTTGATTTTTTAATTCTTGGTACCTAAGAAATGTTAAAAGGACAAATTATGCATAAATAAATTTCAGACTTTATTGAAATCAAAACCAAGTATATGACTCCATTTTGTGGCTGTTACCCCCCATCATTTGTCTTCCTCACCTTATGTTGTGTTAGCATTTTTAGATCTCAGGAAATCTTTCAGTGGAGCTGGTTAAAATGAAAAGATCTGGAGGGAACTGATTATGATTTACTTTAGAGTTGAGTATATCAAAAATATTTAAAATGCAACAAGAATAAAAATTTATTTTGTCAGGGTTACAGTCAGTTCTCTTAGCCCTTTCCTATTTCCACTATGGTAGTAGTGGACTGTCATCAATGGAGATGTAGTTAAAAATATGGGTTTACAGGATAATTTCCATCTTCAGCCTATATATCAAAATTTGTCTTTTCTGTTGAACTGGTTATATTGATGAGACTTCAACTTTAATTTATGTCTAGTTAAATTGAATGACAAGAGAAGGTCATTTCTCTTCATCCTGTTCTTTGTTATTTCTCTTCATCCTTTTATAACTGGCATATCACAATCTTCAGTTGTTCTTCAGTGATTTTCTTTATTAGATCACATGCCATGGATTTCAATCTATCTTCTTGCATTCTTCATTCTTTATATACAAGTTTTGGGTCCCTAGTGACAAGACAAAGAATTCATATTTGTCCATTAATTACTCATTTTTCAAAATGTCTTCATTCTGAAGCCTGCTTTCAACATCATGACTCAAATATGCTTCACAATTTGAAAATGGAAATTCTTTTATTGCTTATGCCAAAATTATTCCACATGTCCATAGGTTGACATCCAAAATAAATTTGATTCCCTGCATTTCCAAGGCCCATCCAAACATTAATTTATTTTGGTTGAATTAACCCTTTCATTTCTTTTTCATTTCTAGTTTTATTATTCTACCAACCCAAAGAAACTTTTTTGACTGGTTAATTGAATTTCACAGGCCTGGCCTATTTACAAAATTCACCCTTTCTCAACTGACCGCTGCCCATCTTTCATTGGAACCCCCCTTCCCTTGACTCAGATGTAATTGCACTTATTTATGGTACCACATTGACACCTTAGGTTTTAAATAAGTATTGTTGATTTTGCTAGTATACAACAATAATGTTAGTTAAGGACAATGAATTAATAATACTAAGTACATGTAAACCTGTACTTAATTTTTATAGAATTTGATTCATTGTTATTCTGTGAATTTAAAATATTTATTGTACTGTCATATTTTCTCAATGTTCTTTATTAAATAGTGATTTAAAATTTGAAAATCTAATTTTACAGTAAATTACTTCTGAACTAAAATTTATATCAATCAGATCTTTAAAATTTATGATTTGGAATAGTTTAGGTCACATTATGTGTGGGTGGTGTAATGGGTAGCAGCTTGAATTAAGAAATCGGAGAGACAAGTTCAAATTCCAGTGAAGTTCAATACATTCACTTATGTGTAAATATCCTTGGGCTAGGTATGAATCTATCTCTGAATCCTTCCAGCTAAATAGTAGGGTGGACTGGGCTCTTCAGCTTTAGGTGGTAACCAGTCTAGAAAGACAACTCTGAATTCAAAACTGTATATAGCCCTGCCAAAGTACATATGCAACTAAAGAAATGATCATAGATTTACAATCACTGATTTCAACTACAGTTAAAATCCTTTTTAGGTTGAATTTTTAAAGGTACATAATTGCATTATGAATCCAATTTATTTGATTTTAAACATATTGTGTTAATATGAAATTTGGTAAGATTTGTATTTTTAAATGCATCTCCTTTAACATCGCAATGTGATTTTAATTTTTTAATTCCAATTTTAAATTTATGAACACTCTCTAAACACACTCTTATTAAAAACTTTACAAATTGTTAATTTTTCCTTATATAAAAAAAATTTAATGTGATAATAATTTCTGAAGTTTAGATAAAAATATGCATAAGCATATTTAAACTTCTGTTTCATTTCAGATGAAAGAGGAGGAGCATTAGCTTCTACAATTTACTCTTGTATGCAACATGGTGATCCTTATTTAAAGCAAATGCTTCAACACATTCTCAACATGGTGAGCAATTTTAATTTAATATCTATTGGAATGTTGGGAAAAATTTTCTATTTTTTCATAATCAATACAGAAGTCATTTCTTGAATATTTTAATTGCTTTAGAATATATTTTCAAGTATGTTTTAAAACTTTTGTGGAGTCTTGGTTTAGTTTATTTTGTTTTATGGCACATCAACCTCAATAGGTTATTTAATGCTGACAAGATTAGGAGAGGTTCATATGAATAAAATATGTATTCTTTATAAGAAATCAGTTTGTAGATCAGGTTTCATTGATGTATTTTTGTAAAGAGGGTTTTTGTTTTTGCTGGTAATTTTTTTTTTTTTTTTATAACATGTATTGCTAATATTTTAATATAAAAATTTATTTTTATATTTTCATAGTATTTTGAGCCTAGTTTGGGTGTCATACCTGAGAGCCCTAACAACTGCTATCACCCCTTCTGGAGTATTGTCTTTCATATTTATTTTAATTACTATTTGATTGGATCATTATTTTTTTTTATTTTTTTTTTTTTTACAATATTTTCAGTGTAAGCCAGGATGTATTAATAATATTTATAATAGAATTATCCAATTTGTAACTTTTCTTGCTGCAGATTAAGATAGATGTATTTTAGAAAAATATTAAATTATGGTTAGCACTTTTAATAATTAGAACTAGCACAATATTATTGAATCTGTGGAATGTCATTATTGTTTTGGAGTTTTAATTTTGCCTTCAAGTATTTGTCAGCAATAATTAATATTGTAAAGATATATACCTTTATATTTTATTTAAAAAGAAATACTATATTTTGATTTTGTTTAATAGCTATAGATCAAAAGCAAGAAAAAATCGATATTACACTGTACTATTGATATTTAAATTAAAATTCTTTGGATTTTCTTTTCATTTGTTTCTTTTTTATTTCCACATTTTATTAACTCTGTTAAATATAAATCAAATGTTACATGTAATTTTTGAAGCTTTTAAATATCGTATGTAACTTCATAAAATTGGTAAATATCTATGTAAAATAAATTTCTGGTTTTGTTTAAAGTTCATCCTGAATTCTTAATGCAGTTCACCTTTATCTAATAAATTACCTGAAGTATAAGTATTTTAGTTATTTTAATCTTGTAACAAATATTACACTACTCAGTGCACATTGATTTTCATATTTGGATAGATGTTTTACTTTTAATATATAGATACCATTTGCTAGGGAAATGTATGTTGTCCTATATACAATTTGGAGAAAAAACAATTAGTAAGAACTAGATTCCTTTTGAAGTTTCTATCTCTATCTGTCTAATGGCTTTATGTAAAATTCTTTTTTGTGACTACTGGAGAATATAAAAATATATAAAATTCTATTTTTAATTACTTTACTCTTGATATTTTTTCTACTTTGTATGCATTAATGTTTATTGAAAATAAGTGAAACATCTGGAAATAGGTAGACAATTTTTCATTATTGTTTTTATCACAGATTTTGGCTGTTTGATTTTTCTTCATTTGCATTGTGGTAGAAAGAAAAACTAATTCATATAACTTTTAGAATTATCAACACAACTGAATTGACCTTTTTTCTGTTTACTGTAAACAACTGGTAGTATTTTATTTTACAGGTTGTGCACCCAATATATGTAACTCTTTTACGCTGGATTTATGATGGTGATCTAGAAAATGATCCTATGGGAGAAGTAAGTTTAAATTGGTTTTATTTTTGAGACTTATTATATTTTGCTTTAGCATTAATATAAAATTGCTTCCTCATCCTCAATTTGTTTTATTAACTCTTTTCATGCAATTCAAATCAGTTTAATGCTTACCTCAAGAAATGTTTTTTTGCAAGATTTTTGTTTTTTTTTATAATTCAGTTTTTTGTAGCTTGTGATCCCAAAGCTGGTGTTGACTTATGGCGAAGTAAATACATGCTGCGTACTGCAATGATTCCATCTTTCATTAGTACTGAGCAAGCAGAAAAGGTAACTACTATTGCATCAAGCAATTATTGATATGAAACAGATGTAAAACAAATTATTAAAATATTTAAAGCTTTGAACAAAATTTTAAATTATTTTAATTCTTTTTCAATAATTATGCACTAGTTATGTCTGAATTTTTTGTTTTGTGTTTCTTGTTTTAGGAGATTGGAAGTTGCGCATTGATATCATGTGGGATGTTTGGACTAAATAAATATTTTTTGAAAGTTACATTAGCAATAAAAATACTTTATTTGATACCATATTTACTAATTACAACAAACTCTAGCTTCTTCATTTGCTGAAATAAATATCTTCTCTTCAGATTGAGTGAGTAATTAATAAAAGAAGAAAATGTAATTAGTACAGATATAACCATTATCAACTCACAGACTTCTCTCCTGTCTCTGTCCTCTTGTTTGCTAGCTCCACTAGCTTTGTTGAGAAATACTGACCTTATGGGCCACCCAATTTTCTCTTCCCTTCTCAGTTAGAGCCAGTGTGTCATCTCAATAGGGCTGATTAAGGTTTCCCAAAATCTTACAATATTGGAGATTAACAGCAAAGTCTAGTGTGGACTCCTCTGTGAATGTTGTGTATCACAAACAAGAGTGGGTAATTCCTGTCAGTGGCTGTGGTGACTTTTGTCTCTTTACATCCAAGGACTACTTTTGGAACCAGGTTGGAATAAGAACTCCTTCAATAAAATGCACAACACTGTTTATAACTCTAACAATAGGTTTATTGAATATAAAGAAAACCTAGTTGAATAAAATATCTCTATTATCTACTGCAAAATAATGTTCTCTACTACTGGATGGTGATTTGGGAAATCTAGTAGCAAATGCTAGAGTAATAACCAGTCATTTGACTCTCACTCAATTCTTTCATGCATGTGAAACCTGCAATTCTGGTGGCTGGATAACTGCAATTAAATGTTTAAAAACAGAATTGGTGCCCTGTTACACACTGAGGAGGTACAAAATTCATTAGGTTGAGTGTCTTTTTATTGATGTTAATGTTTTTTTAATAGTTAGCAACTATTTGTGTGAGGGAAATTAGAAACTAGGCAATTTTTTAAGGTATATATTTTTTCCCATTATTCCAAGTTTCAAAATTAAATTACCACTTTGTTGGAGAATCAGGTCCTTCATAGCATTTCTCTGGTTAATAATTATATGGTAGTTCCTATCTCTTTCCAAACTATCACATTAACGGTTGTACTGGTTTACATTATACTAAAAACAGAGTAATCCCTGACATTTTGGGAAGTGAATTTATTCCTATCTCAATGGCATTATTTTCAGAAATAATATAACCTGTATATACTGTATATTAGTATCTGACTTTAGATTGATTTTCATTTGATTATATTAATTTCCAGCTTGTAGTTTATAAATATCAAATAAAATCAATAGGCTTTAGCCTATTGATTTTATTGATGCTTAAAAATGAATATAAACTACTTGAATGACACAGCCTTACAATAATTTTTATCATGCTCAATGAACTTTTTAATTTTATTTTAAAATATGTTTATGGAAAGGTATATTTTTAAAACAAATTTTATGCATAAACATCTATGCATATAAAACAAACAAAAAAATACAATTTTTTTTTTTTTTTTTTTTCCCAGATTCTTAATGCTGGAAAGTCAATTAAATTCCTTCATCAAGTTTGTCATGACCGAACACCGACAAAAGGCCAACAGGTTGTGCAAGAAATTGATGTCAAACAAGGTGATCAGCTTTAAGCTACATTTTACCATTTTAAGCAGCATTACTTGGCAGCAAATTACTTAAATTTTAATGTACTTTGGAAATGATAATAGTTCACATATTGAGTGATCAGTTAATTTTGTAGATTTTCTAAAAGTGGGAAATTATTAAAATTGTCAATTGTGATTTTCATGAGGCACAATTTGTGATTAGTACTAGGATGTTAATAAATTGTCCTATTCTATATTGATGAAAGATATAAAAACAAATGAAGATTGATTTTAATAAATCAACAGAAATAGCCATCTAATCATGATAGGGTTTCTTTTTATTGAGCAGAAGAAATCCACTTACCTTCAAAAAAGTTGTGAGTGTGTGGCTCAATGATATAAACTGTTAATCTATGTGAGCGATCTCCCCTAAAAACTCTCCCTGCCGGTGAGGCGTTTTCCAGTCGGAAGTTGGGGTGGCTGCCATGTTTGGTATATACTGAGTAGCGAGTGAGGAGTCGAATAAAATATTCTCTCCGTATCCGTTGTCGAAGTCCGTCATTCACATATTTATATTTTTCTTTATGCACATTAATAGTCCTTTATTTTTATACTAACATTGGTAGCAGAGCGTAGTTATGGCTTCAAAGCACATTTCACCGCCCGTCTTAGTTAAAGACAAGTACAGCACATGGAAAAAAGAAATGCAAATCTGGGAAATGGCCACGTTGCTTGACAAAACAAAACGCATCCCCATAGTATTTCTTTCTCTGGAAGGAAAACCCAGAGAAGCTGTATTGGAATTGGATGTTGCAGCACTTAATTCTGAGGATGGAATGGCTAAACTGTATGAAAAATTGGACATGCTTCTTTTGGAAGATATAAACCAGTCGGCCTTTCTGGCCTACGAGACTTTCGAAGGATACCGGAGACAGCCTGAAACATCAGTGGAAGAATTTCTCATTAACTTCGTCCGACACGTTGCTAAGTTGAAAGATTTCAACATCATCCTGCCTGAACGGTACTTGCATTCAGGGCATTAAAGAGTGCTTCCCTCACCCTGAAAATGAAAGACTAGTCAAAGGCGACTGTCGGCGAACTGACACTCTCTTCCATGTCGGCACAGTTAAAGAAGATTATGCACAGACAGCCGTCTGAAGCTTCATCTATGAACTCAACACCCGTAGTGGTTAAGAAGGAAGATGTTATTGCTTTACTGAAAATAAAAACGAACCTAGCGAGGTATACTATGGTCGCTCTTCGCATCGCCATGATTCGCATTTTAATAGTCGGCAAGGAAAAACATACCGCGGTGGAAAAACAACATAGCAACAACAATAACAACAAAACACACTCCACTGACAAAAACAAAATAAACCCGCTAGGACCCGAAGGCAACACCACTGTGTGCTTTAAATGTGGCTTCAAATTTCACTGGTCTTACAACTGCCCTTATGTCGACGATACCCGGGACAAACATGAGGACGACGAACACGAAAGTTATCTGTCTCTGGCTAACATTGTGCTGATGAGTCAACAAAAACGCGAGGCAAATGGCAACACGCTTTTGGGTGAGACACTTGGTTCGGCTGTCCTAGATAGTGGTGCATCCGGCACCGTTTGTGAAACAAAATGGTATGAATGTTTTCTCGAAACATTAACTGATGCACAGAAAAAAAAAAATAATTATGAGAAAAGGAGTGAGAACTTTTAAGTTCGGGGATGGAAACAAGCTGAACTCTCTCTACAATGTGACTCTACCATGTGTCATCGCAGACATTGATGTCAATATCGTTACCGATGTTGTGGATTCTGACATTTCACTTCTCTTAAGCAAAGATGCAATGAAAAGGGCCGGAACTCAATTTTGAACATGACAGCGTGACGATGTTTAAAAAGAAAATTCCATTGAGATGCACATCGTCTGGTCATTATCACATCCCTATCACCAGACCCCTGCCAGATAGAGGTAAGCTCAAACACATTCTTCTTGCTAAAGAAATCTCCTCTAAAAACAAATCAGAAAAAGTGAAAGTTGCAACCAAATTACATAGACAATTTAGTCATCCCAGTAGTAAGAAATTATGTGATTTAGTTAGAAATGCAGGAATAAGAGATCCCGAATTTATGAAAATCTTACAAGCACTTCCAAATTCCTGTGAAGTGTGTATTCGCTATAAAAAAAACGAACCTAGACCTATTGTTGGATTCCCATTCGGATCTTATTTTAATGAAACTGTTGCTATGGATATTAAAGAGATTAATGGTAACAAGGTACTGCACCTGATTGACCATGCCACCAGATACAGTGTCAGTGTTAGGATTCCAAGTAAAGAAAGATCAGACATCATCAGTGCTATATTTATACACTGGATAGCATATTTTGGGACTCTTGGATCTATCTTAACTGATAATGGTAGGGAATTTGATAACGAATCATTCCGTGACATGGCACAGAATTTGAATATCGTTGTGCATACTACTGCTGCTGAAAGTCCATGGAGAAATGGCTTAAATGAATAACACAATGGGATATTGGGAGAAATAGTCAAAAAGACTGTAGAGGACACAAATTGTAGTTTTGAGATAGCACTAGTATGGGCTATAAGTGCAAAGAATACACTTCACAGTGCTCACGGATTCAGCCCCAATCAGCTTGTTTTTGGTAGAAATCCCAATCTGCCCTCCTTTTTGAATGATAAACTCCCTGCATTAGAAGGTGTCTCTACCAGTGAGATTGTTGCCAGTAACCTCAATGCCATGCATGCAGCTAGAAAACAATTTATTATGTGTGAGTCTTCGGAAAAATTAAGACGTGCACTTCGTCTCCTACAAAAATGGTGATGTTGTTTTCTATAAGAGAAATTTCTGTGATAGATGGCTTGGTCCAGGAACTGTCATAGGGTGGGAGCACAAGCAGGTACTTGTTAAACATGGGGGCACATATGTAAGAGTGCACCCATGTCGCTTCGTGTCTCACCCAGAAACATATCAAAGTTCCTCTGAAAGTGAGGCTATAATTGAATCCACCACTTCACAAAGTGAGCCTGAAGGATCTTCAAACTTATCAATGTCTGATTAACTTGATGTTGCTGAAGAACCAGGAACTCTGAATGATCATGTTGCACAACATCAGACTGTGAGAGAGGCACACGTACTACCAAAGCAAAATCCAATTCACAAAACAATTACGCTTCCCAAGCCAGGAAGCGTATTAGAAGAGTTGTCAAAAGTACTTTAGCTGCTGAAACTTTAGCCATGGTTGACATGGCAAAAGTCTGTATTTTTTATCGAAAACTTTTGTTAGAAGTAGTACAATTGAATGATGATACTAACAACAGTAAGATCTTCTGCAAAACAATTCCTGTCTCTATGATTCTGTACATTCCACAACCCAAATTTTGGATAAGAGACTTCACATAGAGATGGCTATTTTGAGAGAAATGATTGACAGAAAGGAAATTGCAGAGATCTCTTGGATATCAACTGATGTACAAATTGCTGACTCCTTGACAAAGAAAGGAGTTCCATCATTCAAGATCCTTGGGTTCATATCCGAACCAAAGGAATCATCTGTATAATGTAAATACCCGGCCCCTTTTTTCTTTTGCAGATTAGATGATTCTAAACTGAAAAGAAGAGAAAAGAGGGGAAGAACTGTTAATCTATGTGTGTGATCTCCCCTAAAAACTCTCCCTGCTGGTGAGGCGTTTTCCGGTCGGAAGTTGGGGCGGCCGCCATGTTTGGTATATACTGAGTAGCAAGTGAGGAGTCGAATAAAATATTCTCTCCGTATCCGTTGTTGAAGTCTGTCATTCACATATTTATATTTTTCTTTATGCACATTGACAGTCCTTTATTTTTATACTAACACAAAGAAAAACTGGGGTAGACCCATTCCATCATTTATAACAGAAAACTGTTGATGGAATAGCCTAGATGTGAAGCCTATGGGGTTGAGGGAATAACCCAGGTGTGCTGCCTATGGGTTAGTGTACCTGGCTTTTGAAAACATATATAGTTAGTGGCAGTGAAAAAGTGGTGAGGAGAAGAAAGCTGATCTTGGGAAGAGTGGATTTGCAACTATTTGGACATGTGGCTTTATGACAGTACAGTTCACTTTATTTTTACTACAAGTTGTTTTGGTTATCAGATGGAGAACAAAGTTTCAACATCAAATGCATCCCGGAATTTGACAGTTTGGCTACAGGACTATCAGTAGTCTAATGGCTTGAGAAAGTTGAGCTGGTATGCAATCTCTGTGAGATGAAAAGTATGAACAGTCTTTCTGTTATGACTAACTTGCAGTGCATTTGTGGTATCCCAACAGCTAAGTACTGAAATGTCGAATGATGTGGTGTAGATAAAGTGTGCCTTCCTTGAGGGCAACAGATTCCTTTATAGCCTACGAATGGCTTAATGTACAATGCTTATGCAAAGGCAAGACAACAGATGTGTATCCTACAGAGTTATGCAAGCTATCCCAGTTATTCAGTATCATTCTGGAGCAAGTTCTTGTGTGTGTATTTGTGACTGGATTGCCAACTCTCATTAAGCAGCTTCTTCGTGCATCATCCTGCATGGAGACAATGGCACTAAACCAAATACTATCTCAAGCCAGTGTGATTATGAAAGATGAAACCTTGGCAGATGAACTGGTTTCAGCTGCTATGCAGCCAGTGTACAAAGATTGAGAATTATGCCATACAGCGAATTGGCCAGGAAAAATTACATGTTTCAGATGTGGTGGACAGAATCACCTGCCAAGAGACTACCTGAAAATGTTGAGTGGGTGTTGAGTCCCAGGAATACAGTAAGCTCCATTGGAACCATGGAAATGCCATTCCAAAAATCCCTCATGTCATCACATAGTGAAAGAAGCTAGCAAATCAGTTTGGCATTCAAATTATTTATTTTGATAGAATTGCATAGAAGGTGAATGCATATTTTTTAAAGAAGAAAAATGCTTCAAAGAAGTGATGAATGCACCAAAGATAAAACCTACAATAAAAACATGGAAGGACCTGTAGT